AGTCATGGTGTCTTTTTCTCTGAGCTTCCTCCTTCAGGGCTTACTCCTTTACTGTGCATCATGACTGAAGTGATCAGGAATATGTGCCATTCTTGACTACTAGTACATTAAAACCAGATTTAGGGGAACTTTAAAAGTGGAATCATCTGAACCTCCTAATCATCCTTACAATCACCAAAAGTAAAAAACCTGACATTCTGCACTAATAGTTGACAGGAAACACACTGCCCACCTATATTCAATCTTCTAGGTCTACAACTCTACAATATCTCAGAATAACAGCCAAATAAGGACTATAGGAATTCTTAAAAATCAACCTTGCAGCTGGGCATGGTGGCACATGCCTGTAATCCCAGCACTCGGGAGGCTGAGGCAGGAGGATCGCTGAGTGCAAGACCAGCCTGGGCTAAATAGTAAGGACTACATAGTGAGACCGTCTCAAAAAAAGGTGAAAAAAAAAATCAACCTTGTTTTTTCTCAATAAAAACAAACTGATATGTATTTAAAAGTTAGGATATGTGCTGGCATTCATTTTCATTTCTAAAGTTGAGAAATCTTCCCAATGCCTCATCAAATAATCACAATTATAAATGCTGTTTAGTAACAGATTTCTATCACAGGGAGTTATATAGAAAATAAAAATAGCAATACATGGAAAAATTACAAAAGGACTGCAAATAGGCATGTATTTTCTAGTAAAAATTCATGGATTACATACAGGGAAATTTGAATGCTAAAATTTTGATGTAGCATTCCATTTTATAAATTTGGCAAGATAAATTATCATATGGAACTTACGGTTTTAGTAACTGTGTGTTAAATAGGATGGTGCATGTTCCAATTTAGGGATCAGTGCAGTGTACACCAATACAGACTGAGAAAAAAAAGCCCAAGATCCTGAATCTTTTTTCCTTTGGTGCTGGGGATCAAATCCAGGGCCTTGTACATGCTAAGCACTCTATCACCAAGATACAGCTAAGCCCTTTTTATTTTGAGAAGGGGCTAACTTGCCTAGGCTGGGTTCAAACTTGAGATCTTCCTTCCTCAGCCTCCCACATGGCTAGGGTTGCAGGCATATACTACACCTTACTCTCATCTCATAGTAATTAATTCTCCCAGGTTGTGGAGAATCATATGGACTAGAACTAATTGGCCCTAACTAGCTCTATGGCTTTAGACCTGCTGTTCAACATTTCCCTAGATCTCTTACTCAGAAGGGGTAAGAGTGTCTTGTTAAATTGTTTATTCTCACTCCATGCCTCTAAACACATTCCAACACTGTGAGACTAATACCGTGTGCTATCAGATATTGTTACTACCTCAGCCTTGTTGTATCATCCCCATCTCTTGGTCACCTGAGGGAAAGGAAAAAAGCCAAGAAAGAGCAGTGCAATATATTCTGCTCTCAGATCTGCTACTTTCAAGTGCCTTAAATTCACTGCCTATCAGTCTTTACACATCTGCCCTCTTTATTCTTTCATGTATACAGGAGCTTAACACTCCTCACTTTTTCACAACTACAAGGAACTTCTGAATTATTAGGAAAGTGGGCTTTTATCACTCATTAATCTACATAATCATTAACTGTCATTAATCAGACACCCATATGGGTAAGGAAAAACTCATTTTTTTAAATTCAACAGATTTTCTTTTTTTAAAGTCTCAGTAGTTTCCTGGGATGAGATGGGGGAACTGATTACAAAAGGGTCAAGGAAACTTCGTGTAGTGATGGAAATGTTCTCTTTATCTTGAGGGGGTGATTACATGAAGATGTATCAAAATATCAAGCTATTAAATGGGTGCATTATTTGCAAATTACACCTCAAATTATTAAAAACACTAAAAAATGTGTTGGCCAGGTAGTAATCCCAGCCCTCAGGGAGGCTGAGGAAAACTGGCACATTGGAGTGAGAAGGGTAATTTGGTAAGCCCACCCCGCAAAAAAGCAGAGGGCTAGAAATGCAGTTCAGGGCAAAGACTGAGCTCAAGCCTTAGGATTATCAAAAATAAAGTTCTGCTCTTTGCAAAACATGTAAAGCAAAACTCCTTGACAGCTGAGATTTGCTTTTCAGAGTGAAGCTAGCGTAAATTTGATGGTAGCTGGATTTGACTGGATACTGTGCTATTATATCCTCTAGAGACTTAAGTCGTTGTTGTTTTGCTTCCTTCCTGTCATTCACCCAAACTAGCTTCAAGCCTTGCCTCACAGAATTAGACCTATTGATTTGTTCTCCAACCACATGAGCCAAACCCCCACGGAAGGACATTCATCCTGTTGTGTTTTCCTGGGCCAACACTACAAATAAAAATTTTCAAAACCTTTTTTAAAAAATTTAATAAGCAAAATTTTAGCCAAGCACAGTCATACACACCAGGAATCCCAGCTACTTTGGAGGCTGAGGCATGATCAAGATAGAGGCCAGCCTGGGAAACTTAGTAAGATGGACTCAAAGAAAAGGCCAGGAACAAAGCTCAGCACTGGTATTTCTGCCTACTGGGCACATTGGGTCCTTGGTGGCCAAGTTTTATGATGAAATGAAATAAAATGGAAAACCTTACTTCTACACTACCCCTTATCATAAATATTCAAATTCCAAGGCTGGGGATTAGCTCAGTGGTGCAACCACCTGCCTCACAAGTGCAAGGTCCCAAGTATGATCCTCAGTACCCCCACCAAAAAAAAACTCCAAGGCCTTTTGTTTTTGACCTTTTTCAAAACCGAGGGACCAAGGATTTAGCTCAGTGGTGCTGCCGCCTGCCTTGAAAGCCCAAGGACCAGAGCTCCATGCCCAGTACCAAAAAAACAAAAAGCAAAACTAAGGAAACAATGTGATAAAACAGCAATGAGGCCAGCCTGGGCTACCATGGGTTTAAGGCCAGGATGAACCACACAGTGAGACCCCGATTAAAACAAAAAAACCTAGTGTGGTGGTGGTGCTAAAATTTTCTTCCACTGCTTAAATTTCTAGAGCGAGCATGTTATTAGTTTGCAAGGTTTTAAAAATTGTTTAACCTTTTTAAAAAATCCAAATGTCTAGCCCACTGGAAGCGGCTGCTCAGTTCTGCATGGAGTGGCTGAGACACAACTGCCAGTGGTCTTGGGTGGCTGTGGAAGCAGCCAGCACGGTATTCCTTGTGCTGAGGACAAGCAGGAACACCTGTACAATCAAATGCTGATTTATTCCAATTTTTTATTTAAAAACGCCAACAAGTCCTACTTCTCTCAGGCGCACTGAACAGACCTCTGAACCCTGCCATTTTACCTGTTCATGTTCACTGTGTCAACTACCAGCCAAGATTAGTGGACTAGCACATGGTCACAACTGGAGACAAATGTCACCTCACATTACTGCAGACCTCATCTCATCCCTTGCATAGCTTTTTTCCAAATGAGGAACTCCATGTACCCACACTCCTAAAATCACCCAGAAGTACTAAATAAAACGCTCACCCCTCTAAATGGTTTGTATCAGCTACAGAGTATCCTGGCTTTTTTTTAAGACAGGGTCTTGCTTTTGCCTCCACTCACTACAATCCTCCTGTATCGGCCTCGTGAGCACTAGAATTCTAGGTGTGTGTCACCACACCTAGCCATTTTTGTTTTAAGCACCTTAAAGCCAAGCCTCACAACAAGGCCTTCATTCCACCAAGAACTACAGTACATTGGCTCCCATGAATTAATCAGCCTGATTCCCCAGCAAACTACATGTGCATGTTGCACTTCTCCAGTCGTCAGGTCAAGACAGATTTATCATGGAATCCTTTGTGGTTTGCTGTGAAGTCTTATGTGTATTAAGTAAGTCTCAAAACAAGGACAGGCCATGGACCATGAATGCAGAAAGATCATGTGAATCAACACAGTTCTAAAGTTTAACCATTTAACTTCCCAACACACAAAGCTGTTAACACAGAAGTAAAAAAAATGCTACTAATAATCAGAACTTCGGTGACTTAAGAGCCCAGCATTCCTGTTGTTTTAGGTTTCCTACTGGGGACCAGAAACTTTGGTGGGAAATGGCCACACGTGCACCAGCCCCCAAACCTGTCAACTGCATGTAACGGTGATGCCTTTGAAGGATTCTTGTACTGTTTCCTACATGTGACTGAAAATGAAATTTTCAAGATATATGTACCTAATTAAAAGCCGAGAAAGACCATTTCTCAGAACTATTGCTCAACAGAAAGATGCCAAGATTGCATTAAAGAAAAGAATCAGTGTCGCGATCTCACTTTGACAGCTTTGCCCACTCATCTGAGAGCAGCATTCTGTCAGTAGCACGAAGACACCAAACAACAAACTTACCAGATCCACAACACACCCACAGCCAGTCACAAGGCAGTGAGTGGGGAAGAGAAATGCTAACTCGATGGGGAAAGTATGTTTCACTGGCTAAATTTAATTTAGTGGGAGGAGCCCCACGATACACATGATGAGGTGGGAAGGATGGTCAGGGTTCCTTTCAATCAGTCTTAAGCTCTTATTCACTTATTTATAAAGTGAGGTCATTGGGCCAGGGATTCAGCTCAGTGGTTCCGCCACCTGCCTTGCAAGCACTAGGACCCGAGTTCGATCCCCAGTACCAAAATACAAAAATACAGTGAGGACATTAAACTAGGAATTTTCTAATGCCCAGGTCAATTCTAAATGTGACCCCAGAAAAAACATGGTACTCCAACATTCCAGATCCTTATGAAGCTGAGGAAAATAGGAAATGCTCAAACATAGCAGTGGTGTTAAAAACTGTTCAGGATGATCACAGCACTAATGGGCATTATAAAAATGGATTATAATGAGAATAAAGTTTTCTACAGTTCTGCAAAACTAAGTATCCAAACCCATGTGTCCTTATAACAGCACTTTTTCTTTACTAAAGATGACTAAAAAAAAAGGTTCAAACTTCCAGCTTTCAGTCCTCTACCTTCCCCTTTTAATATACAGCATTTTGCACCAAATACATTAATGACAATTTGAAACAAAGAGAACTTTAGTCAAACTCCCCTTCCTCCTCCAGCTTTATTGGAATAGTTTAAAATTACATTTTCTATTTTCTAGGACTTCAGTTGCTTTTTCCATCTGACTTTTAAAAACTGATTACAGCAAATGAAACAGTTGTCTAAGTGATATAGTATACAAAAATAACATCTTGATTTCTGTGAAAATGCATTTCTCTGCAATTCCTGAATAGCTCCAAATTATGCTAACTCTGAGCATCAATGTTTACTCTGGGTTTTAGATTTAGTCTTTGAAAAACTGTTCTAAACCTTTGCCATCCCCATTTGTATGTTCACCACCAACGCTGTGATGAAGGTGTTCCTGTCTAGGCGTCTATCCCGAGTTCTCTCGCATAGCCATTAGTGCGCACGTTTAGTCTTTTTTGTTTACTCCCACTCAACTGTATGTTCTATGAAGGCCTGATACAGATGTTACTTGATGTTATTTAACAGCTACTGAGGTCAGATAATCCAAGGCCATCATTATGCTAAAATTAAAAGTTATCCAAGGAAGTTCAGACACTTCCAGAATTGGTTTTACCTCCTACATGGGAACATATTCAAGAAGCCCAGGATGGGCTTACCGGTCGGACAATTCTTCCCATTCGTCAATCCCTATTCACCAGTGGCACGGAAAGGGGGTTCTTTAACAAAGCATTATACATAACACCTCTACCAAACTAAACATAAACTTTTTGTAGTTAAATGCAGAAAAATCGGTTTTTTCCACCCCTTTCCTCCTTTTACACGGCAAGTAAAGCTCACTGGCCTGGGAGTAGCCTCTGTCTGCCAACCTTTGGCCAGTGAAGAGGATTCAGAGAAAATAATACAACCATCAATCAGAAAAAGGAGGGGCGACAAAGGAAAATAATTAGGCTGTGGCCTCAATTGTGCATTCCCGTGCAAGATGCCCTGACTCGCCACAGCGGTAACAGTTGACTTCACTTGTCTTGCTGCAATTGATGGCTACGTGACCAGTCTCACCACACCTGAAAAACAAATTTAAAATTTCACAATGATGGTTGGAACAAGTAAAACTTACCAAAACCAAGTCATTGGTGAGCAAAAGCCCACTATAAGGTAAAAAATGCATTCAACTTGAGTAATGCTGCATATTAATAAACTAAGGGAAGAAAGGAGGTAATAGCCATTCAAATGTTTGCCCTGCTTGAGCATGCTGATGCACACAACACTCAGGAGGCCGAGGCAGGAGAAGCCTGAGTTCCAGGCCAGCCTAGGCTACACCATAAGTTCAAGTCCAGCCTGAACTATATATAGTGAGAATGCTTCAAAAAAAAAAAAGAAAGAAAAAGAAACAAAAACAAATTATTTTTGCCAAGAGATAACTTAAAAAATAAAAGTCACCACTAGCTCGATGTGGTAGCATATGTCTGTAATCTCAGTACCCTGGGAGGCTAAGGCAAGAAGAAGACTGTAAGTTCAAACACAGGTTAGGCAATAGCAAATCCAAACTACAGTTTAATACATACAGGCTTTATTTTTTATTTTTATTTTTTGGCATCGGGGATTGAACTCGGGTCCTTGCACTTGAAAGGCAGGCCAGGGAACCACTGAGCTAAATCCCCAGCCCACATACAGGCTTAAAAAAAAATATATATATATATAT